TGACAATGTATCATGAATGTGTATTATATAAAGTAATTGAATGTAATTGAAAAAGTAATTGAAATTACATGGTATTTTTTCAGTGTAATTAATTAAATTACAATTACAAGTAATTGAAAAAATGTTCAATTACAAATTACATCCAATTACTTCAAAAATGTAATTAATTACAGTCAATTACAATTACTTTTTGCAATTACCCCATCCCTGACTTAGACCCCATTGCATATTCAGTCATTTCTTTGCATATATTTGCGAATTCACAATATATTAAATCTGAGTAAATAATTTTGGTCTGCTGTGGGCTGGGCTTAGACTGAGAATTTCCCTTTAAGCCGTATCAACAGCAGCCATTAGCTTCTCCAATTGCACATAGTTGTGTAAAGTGATGTTACATCACCGCTGACCAGCAAGTTCTCGTTGTGTGGTCGCAGAAGTTCAGTCTTCAATGTGAAGTCTGAGATATAAATAAAATTTGTGCTCAAGTTTTGAATGCACAATAAATGATTAAAATGATAATCAATATAATTGACTACATTTTAGTAAGTGCCTTTTTGAAATGTAATAGGCCTTCCTTGAGAAATAGAGGTAATTTGCAGCATCTTCTGATTTTTCTATATTTTATGGAGTAGATATAATCTCTCCGTCCTCGTGTTATCTGCTAACTGCAGGAAGCTATAAGTAATATAGTCAAGGACACCCTTTGCATTCATTTCAGCAATGTGTTCATCAAGATGTTTTGATTTGGGATACTAAATTCAGCAGTTATATTTTGAATTTAAATGCCGTTCATACGACTCTTTACTGTGTTTCATTCAGTGACATCATTTAGTCAGCTTTTTTGGGATGAAATTTTTGTATTTATTAAGTTCCATCAAAGCTTTTTTTTATAAAGCAAATCTGAGTTTTCAAATTTCTCTCCAACTTTCAGTGATGACAATTTAAGTTTTGTATTGTCAAAGTACGTAATATGGAGTCATTATAATTCTGGTTCAAATTCAACCGCTTTTAAAGCGGAAAGGAGGCATCGCAATGTTCTCATTAGGATCAAGAGACAAGAATCTACACATTTGTGTAAAGTGATGTTACATCACATTTGTGTAAAGTGATGTTACATCACAGCTGACCAGCAAGTTCTCTTTGTATGGTCGCAGAAGTTTAGTCTTCAATGTGAAGTCTGAGATATAAATAAAATTTGTGCTCAAGTTTTGAATGCACAATAAATGATTTGTAACGTTTTTCTCTATATGGGGTGTTTGTTTCTACCCGCGTCACAAAATATTGTGGATCCCGTGTAGAAGATAGGAACTCTAGATCTTTATAGATCTAACATAAGAACAACGACAAAGTTCGTTTCAACGAGTGTATTAATAATATCCAAGAGTAGTTTTATAAATCAAATCCAAGCTATGTATATCAACTCACTAACTCTCTCTCCTTATATACCTTGTCTGACACCTAACGTGATTTAGGGCACCTAGTTAGGGCGTTAGGCTCCATCGTTAGGGCACCTGTTAGGGCGTTAGGCTCCATCGTTAGGGCACCCTGTTAGGGCAATCGGCTCCATCATTAGGGCACCTATTAGGGCAATCGGCTCCAAGTATTAGGGCCTCTGCACCATTGTTAGGTGTCAAGACACTTGATACATTTAGGGCATCCGATAAGCGCCATAATTAGGACACTATAATTAAACTTGTAGGATTAGGGCACTAATCAGGTACCATGGTTAGGGTTTATCAGATAAACAAAATCCTGATCTCTGTTTTATTTATAACAATAACACATTTTTATATAAAACAAAAACATTACATTGGTCCCTCCTTTTGAAATATGACTTCCACTGTCATCAATTTTTAAAACATGAACATGAATTATACGTAAAATCAAATTACACAAAAGCCAAACAATCAATAAAAAGACAAAAAAGTAAAACAACAAAATTATATCAAATAAAAATGTCACTGGATTAAATCAAAAGTTCATCTCACTGGTAGCTTCACATTGGTCTTTGGATTTCCCCGGCCTTATTTTAAGCACTTCCTCTTCCAACTTCTGTTTTGGGTTTTAGGCCGTATAAAGTTGACTGACACCTGGCCTCTGGCATCAGTCATCTTAGTTTAAATAATTCCATACAGCTCCCTTTTCAACACAATTTTGGTCTGGAGAACTGTCGCTTGGTTGAAATCCTCCTCCTTCTCTCTGGTTCCGTGGGTTGTAAGGGCGTCCCCTCCTCCCTGGTCCTGTACTGGTACAAGTACTTGGGGTTCTCATATTTATATAGATACTGTTGAATCCGTCACCCGCGCTTGGAGGTTTGGCAGTATCCCACCGCTGCCACCAATTGTAACGTTTTTCTCTATATGGGGTGTTTGTTTCTACCCGCGTCACAAAATATTGTGGATCCCGTGTAGAAGATAGGAACTCTAGATCTTTATAGATCTAACATAAGAACAACGACAAAGTTCGTTTCAACGAGTGTATTAATAATATCCAAGAGTAGTTTTATAAATCAAATCCAAGCTATGTATATCAACTCACTAACTCTCTCTCCTTATATACCTTGTCTGACACCTAACGTGATTTAGGGCACCTAGTTAGGGCGTTAGGCTCCATCGTTAGGGCACCTGTTAGGGCGTTAGGCTCCATCGTTAGGGCACCCTGTTAGGGCAATCGGCTCCATCATTAGGGCACCTATTAGGGCAATCGGCTCCAAGTATTAGGGCCTCTGCACCATTGTTAGGTGTCAAGACACTTGATACATTTAGGGCATCCGATAAGCGCCATAATTAGGACACTAATTAGGCTCCAAGATTAGGGCACTAATCAGGTACCATGATTAGGGCTTATCATGCAGATAAACAAAATCCTGATCTCTGTTTTATTTATAACACTAACACATTTTTATATAAAACAAAAACATTACAGATTAAAATTATAATCAATTTAATTGACTACATTTTAGTAAGTGCCTTTTTGAAATGTAATAGGCCTTTATTCATGGGTAGTTTCCTTATGAATTTATGGAAAGTTGTAAAATCGATAACTTGGTACAAATTTATTTTCAGAAACGTGTATGACAAAATGCATGGAAAGGGTTAAATTTGTCAATTTTCATACACCTTTCTTTCAGTGGAATTGGTCGTCATTTTGACGAAGGAACACATGTTACAATGAATAACCCCCTCTTTCATGTTTCAGTACAATCATGATAATTTACTGCATGGGAAATTGACTTTGAGGTTAACAAATTTTTGTTTACAAAAATGAATTTCTATTGCTATAAATATTTCAGGTAAATTCGAGTTCATAGTTCCTATGCTTTGGTTATTCATGTTTTCCATGCTTAGATTTATAACATGATAATGCTATTTATATATAAAACTTTGTAACAAAATATTTTTGATCGAAATTTTGTTTTATAAAGGGAAGATCTGTGTAATGCTTAAAAGAAAAATAAGGTGATCTTGTTAATTGATCTGTTAACAATTTGTGGTAGAGCACTGATTCTGAGTCAGGTCAGCATTGACAGAACATAGGACTACACCTGATCGGCTGTATGTCTTTGTTAGGCAGTGATATATATTATATAATGAAAACGGTGCAGCGACCTACTTTGTCTGCCTCTACCCCCAATCTTCATCTGTTTTGCTTTTGTGACCCGATGGGGCAATGAAATGTGGACATAACGAACAGTATTCAAACTCAAAAATCATTTAAACAATACAAAACTGCAATCGCGAAAACACGGACCCTCAAAACATCAGTGAAGGGTTCAGGTGTCATGCAGGATTAAACATTACCTGTCTTTACCAGATATATATACTCCTAACCATGATTGGTTATGGGAAGTCATTACATTTATCATAAATTTTAATTGTTAGGTTACTGTTCACGTCGTTTTTTTTTTTATTAAAACAACTTAATATGAAACATGTGTCAGACTCTGTAGTATCTTTCATATTAAGTTCAAGGTGGAAGATCTGCAGTGAGATTATATTGTGCGTGAAAATGAATATTGAAATATCAATTGTATGTATTTAAATTACAGAAAATAACAGTGGATAAAAAATGGAGCAGTCATTTCAATCGTCATAGTTGTCATGTCTTTTTTAACGTGTAAAACAAAGTACGAAAAAAAATATTGGGCACTAAGACAAATGCTTAGATCTTTATAAATTACAAGAAAAACTTTTTTGTAAGAATTTCTTTTGATCAACTAGTTGTTATAGAAAGGACTCTCTCTCTCTAAAAATGCAGCTTTCCTTGCAATTTTTTTTTCATGCGATTTCATCGAGTGGGAACGAGGGCAAAATCTGTGTATGCAATTGCCAAAAATATCCCAGTAAGAGCAGAAATATACCCGTTTCTCACTTAAATAATTCTCTATAATTCATTACTTTATCCTATTGCATGAGATTAACATGTCAACATGATCTATTATGATCTATTATAAGATCACACTAATGAACTAAAATAATAAATCCTTCTTTACTAAGAATTTTCACTGATGCGTAATAATCCCAAACCAAAAAATGTAAAATTGCTTAAATTGATGACGGAAGAGGCTTTGAACCCCATGTAATCCCTTGGTCATGCGACAGTAAGATATTACAGTACACAAAAATAGCCCCTGTCTCAATATCAGTTGCCAACCTTCTCAATTCGCTTGATTATTGTGATCTTAAATTCAAAGTACAACGATCTACAAACATTTTAAGCGGTTTGGGCTATAAGTTCCATTGTATTTGGCCGGAGATGTTTATTTTGTTAAGTGCTCCCTTATGAGGCAACAAAAAAGTATTTACAATTGGGATTCCATCATTTTTTAAAATTGAAATATTAAGCTCCTTTCTAAACTTCGAAATAAACCGATTTCAAAGATACTTTGGAAAACTGAGAAAATGAAGAGGTCATGATTTAGGCCAAAGTTGTTTCGTAATGAGGAGGGTATATAAGGCTCCCTCCCCCGCCACGACCCTACTAGAGTGAAGTCAAGCAACATGAGAGCTTTCATTGCCGTCGTGTGCCTTGTTGCCGCAGTGTCCGCACGCTCATTACAGGTATATACTACAGACTGATTTTATCATATTATCTATAGATAAAGTTCCTATATATTGTTTTTAAAATTGACAATCTAAATTTATTCAAAAAAAAAAAAAAAAAAAAAAAAAAGAAAAAAGAAAAATGCCCAAGTTTTGATTTCGGTAAGATGACATACCGTTTTCTTTGCAATTTTGCAATTCGTTTTTGAATGCATTCAGTTGATTTTACTGAAAAGGTTAAAATACTTTTCTGGGGGTTGTATTTAAAATATTTACAAAATCCACATCATATCAGCATTTAATTCTTTTCATTTTGAAAAAGCTTTTAATGAAGAAATTTTACAGTATAGGATCCTCTTTAAAAGCAATATTTAATTTTTTTGTATTTGTTAACATTTATTTTTGAAATAGTGCTGTTTAAATGACACAAAATCATTATTGTTTCAGAAACGTGACGGACCTGACCATTGGACGGCAACATGGATGGCCAGCGAGGAGGGTAGGTGGATCAATATTTTTCATAATAAATTTCCTTATTATTTATCTGATAATTTTAGAGAAAATTCTACAAGAAGAACTAGGACAATAAAATTCAGGAAGTTTATCATATTTACTTCTTTAATATATATACTGGATATTTAGCGGGTGTAAAAATATTTGTTCAAAAATATATAAAATTTCGCGCATACTTTTTGTGGTGGAACATTTGACATTGTACAGAGAGGAAATTCTCTTTTAGATTTTCAGATAACGAAAACGATTTGATATATTGAAATACACAAAAAAAAAACCTTATGAAAGTTATATTGCTTATAGAACAGACACATCATAATTTTTAAAGATTTTTTTATATTCAGTATGATTAATGGTGCAGCTGTGCAAATTTTTGTTGTTGCAACAAAATGCTGAAATAATTCCCAAAATAACAACCAAAGAAAGCATTGTGGCATCGCACTTTGAAAAAAAATACTCACTTTGACAAAAAAATATAAATAAATATTTTAAAATAGGGATAAAATTAACGCAACTGATAATTTTTTTTCAAAGCGCGTTAAATTTTGTACGAAATTATCGCTCTTTGAAAAAAAATAGAAAATTATAAAGACAAAAAAAAGTATTAGGAAGTCCACGATATACTGATTTTGAGTTTTCAAACTGAAAGTCCATTTATGTTCATTGTCAAAAAAATTATCAATTTGCTAAACTGGTGTCAGAGCATACGGTATGTCACAATCTCATTAATCTTTCTGTAAAACAAAATCTTGGACATTTTTCAAAGTGCGTTAACTTTTGATCCCAAATTTTACACATTTATTTAAAAAAAAAATGCAAAGTACGTTAAAACAAAGCATTTTTTTTTTGTTTAATATAAATCGAAGCATACAGAATTTACTCCTTAGAGTTAAAATTTCAATCACAAAAATAACATAATCATCGCAATAATTCTTTATACAATTCTTATACATTTTAGAAAAAAAAAACAACAAAGCACACAGAATCACTGCTATACATACGTACTTTATTCACTTTCCTTTAATCAGGTGATAAATAAATTTTCTCAAGATTTGGGGATGTTATGTAAGCGGTATTTACTATAGTTGCAACGAAGCAAATTCAGAGCGTGATCCTTAGATCAAATGAAATAATTGTCACAGTCTACACATGATTGAAAGCTCAGGAAACAATAAAGTAAAAACTTCAACCATTGTTTACTTATTTACTTTAAAATATCGAATGAAAAAAACCTTTGATACCTTGGTGTTAGACTTCCTTGACGGAGGCATATTAATGCCTGTGAATGGTCATGTACACTGCTGAGTAAATAAGGGTCCGTTACTTAACCTTTCACAGAAGCGCTGCTTTATAAGCTATACACAGATATCTAGGATAATGATATCGCATGTTCATGATAGAAAACAATCAGTTGGACAAGTAATTGTCATCATTTTAATCTAATGGAACGTAAGACATTGTTATATTCAAAAGTAATTTAACAATCCGGAAGACAAGCCCCTATGGACGAGATCACCCGTTGGTTTCAACGATGATTTCGCTTACTTTCATTAGATATAAATTTCAAGATAAATACCATACTTTATATAATGAATACAATAACTAAAAGATAAGCTATAGTAAAAATGACAGAAAACCTTAATATGAAATGAAGCAAAATGAAAATAAAGAACAAAGATTTGATGAAAATAAAATCAAGCACAGAAAATGTTAATATCATCTTCAATACAATTAAAGTTATAATTTTTTAAAAATTATTATCTCTTACAACAACAACAACAACAACAGAAATACGGTTATACCCAAGTAAATTGAAGGAAGGAAGGGCAGAAATTTTCACAATATGAGTGAATATGTATTTCTTTAAAATACGCATTTATCTGTATTTACAGACGTAAAGAATGCCAAAGAAGGGGAAGTTAAAGAGATTAAAGGAAAGTTACTCGCTGACGTCAAAGAATTTGACGGTGCTTTGGAAAGATTATTGAGTGGAAGTGAGTATTCATATCTCTCTCTGTCTCTCTCTCTCTCTCTCTCTCTGCATGTTTGTATGTAAGTCGTCTTTCATACATTTTTTGTCTTTTATCCATAGAGGGAAATAAGGAAGATGAGAAAAAAGCAGCTGATGCCCTTGAGGGATCGGTCATGCTGACCCTTATAGATGCTGAAGAAGGTACTCACTTTATCTGGATATGGATTCTGTCACAATTATCCCACTTTTAAATTCGATGAATTCAGTCTGCTGTCTAGAATATACAATTAAAATCAATACTTAATATTAATGCTGTTTAATGACCTTGATCGGGTTTTTCTTTCAAAGATGCTATTGAACCAATGGATCTTGATGTCCCAGATGAATGCTCCAGAGGTAAGGGAAGCCTATTTTAGCTGAAGTTCTTTTATTTATTTTTAATTTATCTATTGCATCACAGAAAGGGATGTTAAGAGAGATCTGCAGTATAAGTTTTTTGATTTTTGCCTGCAGATACTGTTGCCGGCTTGGGAGGATGTGAAGATCAGTTTGTTCGTATAGGGCAGTGTCTGAGAGGCGCCGCTAAAGCCGTCCGTGACGCACTGACATCAGATAAAAGCGGTAAGTTTTGTCATTGTATTTAAGGAATGTTTTGTCATTTTATATATTAATTTTATTTAAACCGCGAAGCGGTTTATAAAAAAGCGTAAACTGTTCCAACCCAGTTTATACCGTATAAAATGGGTAGCTATTAAATTCATTGCTTATAATTTAATTTTCATTCATTTGACGTTTAACTAAGAAAAAAGATGATTGTTCTAACAAAATGACTTCAATGTGTACAAATTTGAATGTAACTTCAGGCGGATTGATACGTTTTTGATGTAAGTCATTGTGACGTAGGCAACCCATTTTATACAATATAAAGTAATTTTTTTATCCAATCAAATACAGCGTTACAATCAGAATTAAATTATTTTTATGTACAGAAAACATTGGAAGAAAAGAAGAATTTATTTGTCATAAATTTATGTGAATGGCATTATTTGCTTTCTAATTTCAGATGTAGAACAGGTTTCCTTCGTCAAGGGAGTCATCGTTTTAATAGCAAGTGGAGCCGAGGATATTGGCAAACTCGCCAGTAAGTTTATTTTTTCACGAAACAAGTAAGAAAATTATAAACTGAGTACAGATTTGAAAAAAAACTTCGCTTTTGTTCTTAAGTTACAATTTATTTAGCAATTATTCGTATTGAGATACATGCATCATTAGTATTACAAATCTGAAATTCTCTCCACGTCATATTCATGTTCAATTTCTCATGTTTGATAGAGGCTTTTTTAATTCGACAGTAATAATATCAAACGCTTTTTCATTACAGAATCCTGTGGATATGCAGTAAGTACAACTTTCCTTCTTCGAAGAAAAATAATTAATAAATAAAATTAAAAAAATAATAATATACCTTTGGTTATCAGTGTGAATGTGTGCATGTCTTTTTCACTGGTAAAGCTTTGATATTCTAGCAAATGAATTACGTCACCCGTTTTTTTTATTTGATAACTAAGTTTATGCGAATGTGTTCATGAAAGTACATGTATCATAAATTATAATGTTTTCCCCTTACAAGCATTATTATTGTTGCAGAAGAGAGAATTTGAGGACTGGGCAAAAGCCGGTTTGGTCAGTGAAGATGGTAAGTCTTGCCATACTTTAAATTAAGTGTTTCTCACAAAGTCATGTTTTATAAAAAAAAAACTGAGCGACAAAGGAATTGAAAATATCTTTTTGGATATCATAAGATAAGAGGTCTGATGTATTTTATCGTGTAACTTCTAAATGTTTATCTGTTTTATATTATAGATTTAAAAGATGTTGATCCCGCTGAAGTTGAGGAAGTTGGAAAGAACTTGAGGAAAGATATGGATGTTATTGGACAGGATCTGGATCAGCTTTTGAAAGAAGGTAAGTTAATAGCATATTAACTTCTTTTTTCCATTGTCATGTGTATTCAAGTCTACCATTAGTTACAGAGCAGTTCGTTTTCAAGATTCATCACTGAAAAAATATAACGTGGAGTTAGTCCCATTGAAGAGATTAAAGATGTATAAACTGGATGCAGCTTATTTCATAAAAAGAAATACTAGACAATTTACTTTGTATGTAGGACTTGTAATATATGATAATTCATTTTGTCTGTAGGAGTTGAGATATATGATAATTCATTTTGTATATAGGAGTTGAGGTATAGTTCATTTTGTCTGTAGGAGTTGAGATATAAGATAATTCATTTTGTATGTAGGAGTTGAGATATATGATAATTCATTTTGTATGTAGGAGTTGAGATATAAGATAATTCATTTTGTCTGTAGGAGTTGAGATATAATTCATTTTGTCTGTAGGAGTTGAGATATAAGATAATTCATTTTGTATGTAGGAGTTGAGATATAAGATAATTCATTTTGTATGTAGGGGTTGAGATATAAGATAATTCATTTTGTATGTAGGAGTTGAGATATATGATAATTCATTTTGTATGTAGGAGTTGAGATATAAGATAATTCATTTTGTCTGTAGGAGTTGAGATATAGTTCATTTTGTCTGTAGGAGTTGAAGTATAAGATAATTCATTTTGCCTGTAGGAGTTGAGAGCGAAGCTGCCGAGAGAGTTGAGGAACATCTTGAAAGCGCTGTTGCCCTCGCTATGCTGCACGAAGAACAGGGTAAAATTTTACTAATCCGTTCGATGTAAAATTATAATGGAAGTACAGGTTTCTTTTGTTGATATTTTTTTGATATTGATATCACTACAACTATATTGTGATGAATATTTTATCATTTTCTTCTCTTTTTGGTTATACAGGCGCAGGCTCTATCAAACCAGCTAAAATTGACATTCCAAAAGGCTGCAGAAAAGGTTATTTGAATTACATCATTTCAATAGAATAGTATCCTTTTTTCATACTAGTAGTTGTTATATAAATCAATAGAAAGTCTCAATTTACATGCATTTCAAGATTAGAAATAAGTTGTTTGTAAATATAATTAGTACTAAAAGATTGTGAGATTTAACATACCGTCTTTGTCACGTTTCAGAGGATTTTGGAAGCGACTGCAAGGAAAATTTTGAGAGAGTTGTCCGATGCTTGAAAGGTGCTGTTGACGGAATGAAGGCCGCCTTTGACAGTGAAGCTCCCGGTAAAGATGTAGTATCCATTAATTCTCCATTAATTCTCTACATCGGCGTGGGAACCGGGGGGGGGGGGGCTAGGGGGGCTTAGCCCCCCACTTTTTTTGCAAAGATAGATATAATATAGGCATTGAAAATCGGGGTTTATCTTTTTTTGTTGGTTTAGCCCCCACCACCACCACACACTTTCAAGTAACCCCCCTTTCGATTTGCTTCCGACGCCTATGCCCTAAGTGTTGAGAAATCTCAGTAGAATCTTAAAATATTAACTTAAATTTATCTCTGTCAGTAAACAAGATCAATCTATCAAAACTAATACTAACTGTAACAGAACCCGTTAGAGACATTACCCAAACTTTTATAATAACACATTCCATTTATTGACGTATACTTTTCGTTTTCCAAAGTATTTCGTCGAAAAACAACACTGATCCAACCATTTGAGTCTTTAGCAATTGTGCACAGCATGTCCATTTTTCCTCATATTATTCTAGTATTCATTTAATTCTTCGCACACTCACACATGTGTGTGCAAAAATGATCTTCGTTCTTTACATCTTCACAACATACCGGAGAAGCATTTTGAAAAAAGAAAGTAAAAATGATGTGTTCCAAACTTTGTTATACCAGAAGAACAAAATGATTATTATTTCAATGTTAAAAAATATGAAATTGTTTCATTGCCTTTTCTTCCTTTATTATGTAGTTGCCCGCAAAATCGCCAAGGTGAAGGGAATTGTGGGATTGGTAGCTAAAGCCACAGGGCCCATTAAGGCACTTGCCAGTAAGTAACAATAACATGACTGGTTTAATAATATTCAATGTTGCATTTGAATTCATAATTTGTAAAACTAGTATCGATTTCCAAAATTAGATTTAAGCATTTTATTTTCAAAATATATATCTTCATTACAGAGGATTGTGGACATGAAGTAAGTATAAATTTATTAATCCTATGAAACAAATATTCTTAGATGCTATTTACCAATGTAGCTTTAAATCTTTCCTGATATTTCCTTTTTTATGTCAGTAGAAAACAATTGCTACATTTGTAATGTTTTATAGACCATTTAAAAAGATAAATAGAAATTTTCCCAAGTATTTCAAGGGTTCTAAACTGAAAACACATGAGTACACTAAATATGATGTACTTTTGTACACTTGTACCATAGTAGCTCTAAATGGTTTATGGAATGTATTCAAATTATTGTATATCTTACACAAAAAAAATCTTCTTATAGAAGAAGAGAGAATTTGAGGACTGGGCTAAAGCTGGTTTGGCCAGTGGAGATGGTAGGTTGAATATTTTTGTCAGCAATGAGTAATACAACAGCTATATAAAAGATTCCTTTTAGAGAGATTATTTTTACAATGTATTACAATAAGATTTTGAATTGAGATCTACAGAGTCTATAGTTACATTGTCATTACAGATTTGAAAAATGCCGATCCCGCGGAAATAGAGAAAGTTGGAAAGAACTTGAGGAAAGACATGGATGAAATTGAAAAGGATTTGGATGGACTTTTAAAGGAAGGTTAGAAGAGATTTCGTATATGTATATTTGCAGCTGAAAAAAAAATCTAAATAAAAAATACGGGAATTCTCACTATAGAAATGTACTGCTCTTGAATTATTCAGGAATCGATGGACCAGCTGCCGAGAAGGTAGAACAGCACCTTGAAGGAGCAGTTGCCCTCGCTGAACTTCACGAGAAACAGGGTAATGTGTTTTAATTACACAATCTTTACTTTCAAACTTTCTATTAAATGTCTTTTAACTTTTATTTCTACTATTTGCAGCAGTGTTTCTCACAATACACAAGGAGTTATAGAATTAACTTTTTCATGATATTCACTTTTTTTTTTATATCAGTGTCTTTTTAAACGTTCTATATCATTACAGGAGCCAAATCTATTCCCCCAGCAAAAATCGAAATTCCAAAAGGCTGCAGAAAAGGTGATTTATAGTTCTTGTACTTATAGTTCTGAAGTTTTATAAATAATAAAAAGAAATGCATCACCTATTACAGTAGAAAATTAGATATCTTCTGTGTCAGGTTCAGTCAGTACTGGAACCATTTTTTCAAACATATCTTTATTAATACAACAACATAATCTATAAGATATTTAATTATCATTTAAAATGTTCACATTTCTTCATTTTTTTTTATAAAGAGGATTTTGGTATGGACTGTGAAGAAAATTTCAAGAGAGTTGTTGGTTGCTTGAAGAAGGCTGTTCAAGGAATGAAGGAAACCATGGACAGTGATGCTCCAGGTAAACAACAACAGAGAGTGGTATCTTTATTCCGAGGCACCTTTTTATTATCCCCTGTTTCAGTGGTATCTTTATTCTGAGCCACCTTTTTATTATCCCCTGTTTCAGTGTGTAAAGAAAACATAACCGAAATCTGGTATTAATAGAATTAAAATCATATTCTTTTTTTCACTGTCCTTATAGAGGTTCAAAAAGTTGCCAAAGTGAAAGGAATTGTTGGACTCGTAGCCAAGGCAACCGGTCCCATCAAAAAGTTGCACGGTAAGATACAAAAACGTAATGGTCGATTCTATGACATGTGTTAATGTTATTCATGTAAGTTACAGTGTTTTTCATGTTCATCTAGTATTTGACAAAACAAAATTAAAATTAATGTTTAGGTTGTTTTAAAAAAAGGTCATACTAAATATATGTCCGTGTTCTATGTAACCTTGTTATATAAGATCAAAAATACCTGTCTAATCGACAAGAAGTGTTTAATTAATGTTTGGATTATATTGTATTTCCAGATGCTTGTACACAGAAGAGATCTCTCGCCCGATTCTTTAATTAACCCTACTGCCAAGTTTTACTGATACTCGACGGGTATTTGTCCATGGACTGATGAAATGAATTTTTTAATGTATTATTTTGTTTAATAAATATTTTTGCATAGTATAAACTCTTTGAAGATCTTTTTTAAAAACATGTTTTGGGAGAACCTTTTGTATCTAGTATTGCAATGTAAAGCTTTTTTTAGTTTTTGTTTGTTGTTTACCGTCCTTCTCAAGAAATTTTCATCCATTTAGAGACGCCATCACTTGCAGGTGGAGAGCTGCATATTTTGACGTATGCTCGGCACTGAGGGCCATTGAGCAGTGAATATGTGGTTTACAAATTTTATCCTCCATACCTCCACCCCCTATTGTTGTTGTTGTAGAAAATATAGTTTTCTTTGTATAAGGTGTGGGATATTTTTTGGGCCCCACCTTCCTCCTGAAATTGTAAAATACAATTGGCTACTGCTCTATATACACACAAACCCTCTTTATTATTTAACTGTAAAAAATACATGTATCAGTTTCAGTATAAGAGCCTTTTGTAAAATAAGATGACCAAACTGGCTTTATAAGGGAAAGATTCGTAGGTGAAAATATTAGACTGGGTATGATTTAATGCATTACACAGAACAAAAACAGATTCCAGGTTTATTAATGCTAATTGACTTTGAAAAAGCTTTTATAAGAAGTGTATATCAAACATTACTTTTTTTTTTGGAGAATCCATTAAGAATTGGAATCAAAAAAAAAATTTCAAAGGCAAAGTTTTTCATCACTCGAAATAATAAAGATGGAATTTTAACTGATGGGGAGGAATATAAACTTTCACAATATGCCGATGATACTTCAATTATATCTGATGGATCACCAGTCTATGGATGGTATATTGAGAGAGTGTAACAAAAAAAAAAAAATTTTCAAGAAGTTTTTCATCACTCGAGATGGAAGTTAGACTGGAATAATTCTACTTTTGATCTTCTTGGTGTAACATTTTCTATTAATTTAAACTAGAGGTACTGTGAGCGATGAGCTCACTAAATGATACCCCCGCCTCCATATAGTTATAATGACAAAGTCCATGTTTTGCTGTGGCCGGGAAACCCAAAATATGTGTCGGGTCAAAAAGTAAAATAGGAGGTGCACAATGGCAATATGTAATAAAGATTCTGTGAAAGTTTCATCAAATTTCATTCAGTGGTATTAGAGGAGTTGCGGACAAGAGATGGGTACCCCAAAGCGTAACAGACGGACGGACGGACGACGGACAAAATGTGATCAGAAAAGCTCACTTGAGCCTTCGGCTCAGGTGAGCTAAAAACTGACTGGTGGTTTTCGTACTAATTGTTAGGCCATTGTTTACACACCTAATTGTCCAGTGATTTTTTCGTCTTTCTATCGTACATGAAAAGGAGCCCATAGCAGGTGTGACCGGTCGGCAGGAGAAGCTCACTCCTCCATCGAACCTGATCCCACCTCTGATGTTTTGGAGGCCCGTGTTTGCCCGTGTTTGCTCTGCTCCTATTTTGTAATGTTTAATGGACTTTTGAGCTTGAATACTGTTCTTTAAACTTATTTTCACATATTTCATTCATAACATCTACGTATCAAAGTATTTACTATAATACTAGCAGTTAAATTTGTTAGCGTTTTTACGAAGGAGAAAAACGACTTTAGAATCACTTTTGATGGGAAAACTCCTATTTTAGAGCCTATTTTCTAGGGAGGGTAGGTTCTAGCCTAAAAGCCATTTTCCAGGAAAAAGATTTAAATATACAAAGTTTAGTCATAATTGTTAAACTCTAGCTTTTTACGCTGCAATTTAATAGCCATTCCAAATGCACATGTAGACTTTAAGATTCATACCATTCGGTTTTTGTTGTAAAAAAAAATATGCAACGGCAAGACAATTTCTGATAAATAATTATCTTTCAACACTGTATGTGTGCATTTGATGCCATGGGGTCTTTTCTACAAAATGTTGAAATGTTAAAAATTATTCATATTTTTTAAAATAAACGTAGATTTTCTTTAAAAATCGTTGTTTTTATCATAATACAATTTGAATATTATATTAAGAATTTTCCGTCTTTTACAATTGATTATTACTGAAAGAAGTTGCACCTGTATTGTGACTTAATTTATTAAACTTTGTTTAAAAAAAAACTACCTTAGTTGTAGAACTTATCTTATCCTTTTGACAAAGTTAATAAATATATTAATAGAATGTCTACTCTGCAAGACCGGTACTGAATGATTATGAACTCAACATCATTTGTAAATGATTTTATAGCATAAAAATATTGCATTTTTATATGAAATTTTTTTTTTACAAATATGTTTTATATGAAGAATTCAAATATAAGAAAATTTAAGAATAAAAGAAAATATCTATGCACTTTTCTTTTCCCTCAATTACATGGTAATACAAGCTACAATTGTAACCATTATATTTGCACATTTTTATTTATGTAACAAACATCAGCTTGTATATTAAAATCTTTTGGTATGTGATTTAATGGATGGATTCCTGTAAAATATTTGTAGAATCCCTTCTCTTTCAGAGTTCTATATGTATTTAGTAAATCTGGATATAAGGCTTTGCTTGGCCAATCTGGAAAAATATGATACTCCAAGGAAAAATGTCTGATTCTTGAAGTCATTCCAGTTTTTATTAAATAATTCAGCACCGACCACTCATGACCTTCCACATCTATTTTTAGGTAATCCAGAACTCTCTGAAATAAAACAAATCATTATCATACAGGTGTTCTCAATGAATACTTGATCGAACCGTAAAATTAATTACAATTTATAAGAAAAATGTCCTCGGAGAGAAAAAGCATTTTAGTATCTTTGAGATGTTATCGGGAAACAGCTTGCCTTAGAATGAATGTAACAATATCTCTCGGTGACATTGGTAAGCTTTCCGAACACATCAAATAGATCGTTTTGTCAGACGCGCTCTACTGAATGCTACATTTTCCTTGAATGATTTAGCGCATAATATTGAATCAAATAAAGAAATAAATATTATTACAAAATGATTACAGGTTGCATTTCATTGCAACAAGAATCAACTTAAGCTCAATTACGATCTAAATAATTAATTTAGATATAGTTTGGACGACAGTACTCACATTTTTGTGACCTAGTTTTTCCATGATTGAGAGGAGATCCATCATATTCCATTTTTGATCATTGGTTACATAAATGTCATGGCGGGGATTGAAATCCTGAATCACACTGTCACTCAGACCAATGGGATGAAAAACTACGCTAGTATTCCTTTTGTGTTCTTTTGTGTTCATACTGAAAGTATTTCAAATGAAATTTTATTTTTTAAAAATTGAATGTTTATGCCTAGCATACTTGAACAGAAATGAAGAGTATTCTGACTTCTGCTAGAGTCGGTTATAATTTAGTGAACAACACGAATTTTAAAGACTACATATTAATCTCATCCAGAGATTTTCGTACAAATGAAATATTCGACAAATTTAAACTGCATATGCTAACATTCCAAATATTTTTATTCTTTATGTATTAGCCAGAGAAAACTTTATAATGGAAAATACCATGCCGTGTGTTTTATAACATTCAATTTAACTATTCTTAACTTGTCCAACAACTCATACTGAATATGTCGATGATCTTTATGCATCCAGATCGATATACCCGAGGCGTACATTGTTTTTGTCCTGTCTGTCTGTCTGTCAGTTTATCTGTCTGTTGTCAACTTTAACCTTCGCCATAACATTTGAACCATAAGAGATAGAGACTTCATATTTGGTATACATACGTACTCTACTAATTAAATTCTTTCAAATGACAACAAGGTCAATGGCCTTGTGACCTTGCTTGTAACCTACGGTATATGCTCAAAATAGTTTTTTTTTCTCGAACTTTCGCCATAACTTTTGAACCATAAGTGATAGAGACTTCATATTTAATATGCATACTCCACTCATTAAATTCTTTCAAATTACTTCAAGTCCGATGACCTTGTGACCTTGTCTATGACCTTTATGCTAAAAATAGCTTTTTCGAAACTGTTGCCTCCGGATGCATAGTGTTTCACAAACAAATCTTGTTCTAATTTATTTTAGACAAAATGATAAAGAATAATAAAGTATGTGGCATTTGATCTGCAGAAACGAAAAGACATACATATTATAAAGAGTTTTACAAGGTTCTAATGAACTAAAATTGAAATAAAAGATTTTTATAGAAACAAAATAGTGAAAAAAATCAACCTGGTTATAAAGTCATGTTATAAAATAATTATCCTTCAAATAGTATTGCAATACCTTGGATCAAACGAATGGACTTCGCAGCCAAGCTCAGCCATAGCGTCATCAAAACTGAAGTCATTGGCGATGCTGGAAAAGAATTGTAGCTAAGTTCTTAAAAATCATAATATGTAGAAGTCTGCGCTGTTTCATTGTGCAATTGATAGTTTGGAAACTTTGAAACCTCAACATTGCTAATTTGTCATAACTTAATATACTCACCCAAATGAGTATACTAAGCACGGTTTCTCTATTTTAAATGGCTCATCTTGGCACAGAAACCAATTTCCTACTCGAGTATTTTGTTGACAGTTGTAATCTTGTGGCCTTCTTCTAAAATCTCTGTTTTAAAAAAATCAATAAATCAGATTGTTTATTTCGAAAAATAAGTTATTCTTGTGCTCTGTTTAAAACTTTAAAAGAATCTCTTCTTATTATCACAAAGAAAGAAAATAAAGGAATACATTTCTAGAAAAGCTGCGGCTCTCCACCAGTCAGATTGTAAGACTTCTTTTGATTGGTTGTACGTTGGCATTTTCTTTAGGTATGTCCAATCATTTTGCTCCACAGGCTGCAGTCTTCTTCCCAGTAATTTTACTGCCTTTTTTGTTTGTGGTGGCTGGATTACTTCTGTCTTCGTTTTCTTCATCAATCTACGGACACCACCACGGACATTTGTTTGGGATTGACGTTGTTCAGTAGCTTGCTTTTTCTGTGGGGAGTTGTTTATCCGTGTGGAATCTGTTAGAATAATTGATTCATTTGATCACATAATTAGTGGTATAATAGTGTCAAGTAGTTACAGTCAGCTTGTATTGTTGCAAGGACAGTTTTACAGTAAACACATGGATCCCTTGTTAATGTAAATATCATTAAAAATCACAATAAAGAAATTCATTAGCAAAAAGTAATTTCTTTTAAAATTTCTCAGTTAGACAATTGTTCTGCTTGGTATAAATTTGTAGGAGTTATCACTTATCAGTGTAGGCTTTAGCGAGTTTTATTACAAAAAAAAGTTTATACTGCTTGACAGATATATATTTTATAATGCAAGATGTATTTATTTTATCGAATATTCGAATACTCCTATCGAATATTCAAATATCAATTATTTTCAGTTTTGATATCCCTAGTTTTTATATACATGTATATCATTTTCGACTGATAGTAAAAAGAGAGAACCTCCAAAATTACGAATTGCGAATAAAAAATGACGTGAAAAATATGTGTATCACAGTACGTGTCCTAGTGTTTGACTGCACAATTCGCAGCTGAGCAGGCCAAGCATACGCATAGTGTCCCAAGATTCTGGATATGGTTCTTTTTCATTTTACGTACTTAGCAACGCTTACTCACCTTGTGGCGTTATGCTGGGGCTGATAAACTCATACGTGCTTCTGTTGTAAAAGCAAAAGATCAAGAAGATCCCGAAAACAGGAATAGCGGCCAGCAAGTTCCTCTTCATGGCCAAGTGGATTTATCGTTAGTCAGAAAATTGGGTGTCCATTTCTGATTTCAGTCTGCAAGGGAAAACGTATTGATATTGTGATGCATGATTGAAGCGCCCAAGAAAGTAAAACTTGTGTTGGACTGTTTGGAAGTGCATGCAAGGCTCTGTTCAGTTTTACAGTAGAAGGGGCTAATAAGAAACAAGAGGCCCATGGGCCACATCGATCACCTGAGCACTGTGGCTAGGAACAAGAAAAAATCAATTCAGTAAATTGTAAATGCATAAGTAGCCCTGATCCTATTAAAAGGGGGTATGATTTCAACAAAATTATATCAACGCAAACTTAGATCTACACTAACTAAGGATGATTACATATTTTTTGCTATAATTTTGAACTTTATGGTGGTCCCACTCTACCATCTTGGGTCATGATTTTAATAAATCTGCATCTACACTATACCTGAGGATGCTTCCATAAAAACATAACCAATCATGACTTTGCTGTTCTTGAGAATAGATTTCTCCTCTATATTCCTATGTAAAACTTTGAACAAATGTGAATCTAATCTACCTGAGGATACTTCCATATAAATATGACTAATCATGACTTTGCTGTTCTCAAGAAGAAGTTTTTTTAAATATTTTCCCTATATCGTATAACACGGTTAAAATGAAGTCACTGTGACTTATGAAATTACTTTGCTACAGCCGTAATTCTATATATCCGTATAAGGAATTCGTTAAATTCATAAAGCTGGGTATCCAAGATAACGTCGCTATATCCTTGAATTCGCAATATCGGTGTTCGTACGAGTTTTACTGATACACCTATGTAAAACTTAAACCGCGTCCATTGTGGCTCCGCCCTACCTCGGAGTCATGATTAGAACAATCTTGAAAGGGACAATACCTGGGGATACTTTTATATAAATATGAACATTCATGGCTTTGCTATTTTCGAGAAGACAAAGATTGTTCCTATGTATTCTTATGTAAATGTTTGATCGTCAATTGTGGCCACATCCTATCCCTGGGGGTCATGATTTGAACAAATTTGAATCTACACTACATGAGGATGTTTCCCACTATGTTTCATCTTTCCTTGCCAAGTGATTCTTAAGAGGAATATTTTAAAAGATGCCATGAATTTTTCACTAATTTTCAATTATCTCCCCTTGTAATAAAGTGTGGCCCTTCATCCAAGAATACTTTGTGGCAAGTTTGGTTGAAATTGGTAAATTGTTTGTTGAGAAGAAGTCGGGAATATGAAAAGTTTACAGACAGACAAACGGATGGACGGTCAAACTCTAAGGTCAAGGTTAAATACCTTTAAACCTACTGAAAGGCTTTGACACAATGAATATACATGTACATGTGAAATATGAAGTAAGCACTATTTGTTCAAAAGTTAAGGTCAAGGTTAAAGTGTAGTCTTTTTTGTAAAAGTGGGTCAAACTCCAAAGTTTAGGACAAAAGGTCAAATTTGGCGGATACCAAAAGAGAGCTCTTGTAACAAGGAATACGCCTGTGAAATTTGAAAGCCATATAGCCTCACCCATTAAAAATGAGCAAGGTTTCTGTTTTTACAGACAAACACACTTAAACTATACATTTTACGGAGGGCATAAATATGGGATATCTACTAGTATGTAGCCTGATTAGATAATGGCTCTATCCAACGAGTTAAAATGTATATTCGCGAGGCTTACCGACGTTTCTCTTGAAAACGATGGGGGAGGAGGGTGGTCAGAAGCCATTTCAGATACTTAAAGTTTAATGAAATTCGACACTTCAGTGATGTATACAAGTCCCTCTTCTGCTTTTAACGAAATTCTTCTTTATTTATTATTATCATTTATTTTATAAGGCATGGCTTTTTACAAATCAAAATTTTGGTTTTAAATCTTGATTGAGAGAGACAGAGGGATTGCGTCAAAATTGGAAATGCTGTTGATAAAGCAATTGTAAGTAGTTTTGACATGCACATACAGTACGCTATTCAACCAATCTGATTTAAATCACATCCTTTGATCCGCTCACATAGATCGCTACCTTGTGTGCCTTGTGTAGGGATCTATGTGAGCGGATCAAAAGATCTGATTTTAATCAGATTGGCTATTCAACAAAATGACATATTACTTACCCTGCGCGTTCTGACAATAGAAGAAGTTGAATCATGAATCATTTTAAAGAATTCATCAACAAAAGGTACAATAGGTACATATTTTCTTTATTTATAGCTTTATCACGTGTAGACTATGCCATTAACAAATTGAAATTTAGAATTAATAAATATTTAATCGTAAATCATTATCAACATAAAGTTTTGAATGTGTAAATTCAACATGCAGAAAGATATTTCATGTAAAATGTCAAGCAAAAATATAAGATCCAGTCCACATGGCATAATATTACAAGGAAAATTGAACTTGAAAAGAGCCAAATAAATACGAGTATATAGATTTCTTTGCAAACATTGATAGACGGGATATGTTGCACTGAATTAGAGGTACTGACATTGTATTGCGGTGGTTAAAAATAGCGAATTTGACATGGATAAAACATCTACAATGTGATGTCTCGTGACTGACAGATACAATGTACTTATAGGTAAGAGTGCCTTTTCAGTACTCGGCATGGAATTAAAAAAAAATCCCACAATAAACTTCAAACGTTCATTGTAAAAAAAAAAATATGATCCTTCACACCTAACCAGAATTGATAGATATAGTGTCTTGTTGTAAATTTTGAATTTACCGGGTGGCAGTAAATACAAAATTAGTTGCCACTCGGTAAATTCAAAATTTCCAACATGACAATGGCAGACTGACTCATCGATCTGTTATTACACCTTTCTTTAATACCTGCAGTTTACTAAATGAATTTAAAGATCAAACGATTACAACTTACATTGTTTTGTTTTCTTACATACGTTCCAAATCAACATACATATATATGTAAACAACACAGCGCCGATTCCTTTTGTACAACAGTTACTGTCTACATGGTCGCCCTGCTTTTACTACCAATTAATAGCTGTCCATTATTGTCATGCATATATAACACAAAATTGTAGTGAAACACACTGCGGCGCGTGATGTTTTCTATAATGAGTATGTTAATTAGACGACGAATTTTTAACATGCATGATATTTGAATATTTTCTCGCCCCTAAATAATGTTAATTAATACTATAGTATTGATTTTAGAAATCAAACTTCAGGTAAGGCGAACTAGAAATCGTATATCGATTACCTTCAGCAATAGACCACGGCTAGAATCTAACGATGTCAATCCTAATTAACTAATTAAAGGACGCTTCATTAATTCTTCATTGGATGTCCCGTGTTGTCAATAGGGACTCAAGGTTGTAAAAACATGAAAATCGAATGAAGAAATTAAACTGTGAGATTACCCTGAAATCGCTATTTGTCTTCCCAAATAGATGTAAAAAATGAATTCGAGGATGCCCATCTACGATTTTTGTTTTATTTTCTTTGATTTCAGATTTTTAAAAATCATGAAAATTGAATGAGGGCGCATTTGGTTTGGATTCGTCTGGAAATTTGGCTAATTGAAAAGTGAATAGATCATTGTTCCATCATAAGATATTCTCACAGTTTATTGATGTACCATTTATATGAAATACAAGAGGGAAATATTTTTCCGATATTATGTTTTGAGTTGTTAAAATAACTCGTTTAGTACGAACACGGATACTGCGAATTTATGGATATAGCGAAGTTAGCTTGGATCCCCAGCTATATGAATTTAACGAATTCCTAATAAGAATATAACAAAGTACGGATATAGCGAAGTAATTTCACAGGTCCCAGTGACTTCATTATAACCGAGTTTTACTGTATCTTGAAATATGGCTAGGTAAACCATTTAAAGACAGATGATAGAAACTTTTCTTTCTTCAAAAACTTGAAAATAACAACTAAAGGCTTTAAGCCATGTTCAAAGGGATTAAATGAGCAACTTAAATCGCATATTTCCTATTTTCATTCAAAGTTTAACAATAATGAAATGTAAATGTTCCGAAAATTGTAAATAGATTTATAAGGCTAGTTGCAGAAAGGTAACCCGGTTCAATTCCGAACATCATAGAAAGTTTACAATTTCTTAATATTTTAGAAATTTAGAAATTTATTATTTTTGCATCATTAACAATTAAAATAGGTAAAATAAGATGTGTTTGTGAAACAATATGCGCCCGGCGGCAAGAAAGAGGTACTTGCAATAACATTATGTTATCTTTAACGACACTCCCAACGCCATCAAAACTACAGTTCTCCTCAAAGGAGGATCGCTGCATTTCATTTCCGGAAATATGCATAGCATTTCCGATATTTTTTTATTTCATTTCCGACATTTTTTGTTTTCATTTCCGACATAATTTTCTTTTCATTTCCGGAACTTACCTGTGCGGCAAATCAATGTTTTCTAAGTAAGTGAAAATGGAATTTTAAAAGTATTTATTACAAAATATTGATAAAAAATAGAAAAAAAAACATCTACACATATATGCATACATGTAGTAGTAAGTCTAGGTAAAAGAGTTCAATGAGCATGAACTTTTTCACCACATTTAAAGTGCACTAAATTAAATGTAAGTGACAGCACCACACTTATAAATGTCCAAATCACTGATAGATTTACAAAACTCACTTAATGCATTTTAATTATTTATTTACGATTTTTTTCTTTAAATTTTTCATAAGTATAGCATTCAGATCTGTTACTAAAAGTACTGTATATGTATTTGAAAAATGTCGGAAATGAAAAAAAATTCTCCCATAACATTTCCCGATTTTGCGAAGAATGGACACAAAGTTAGCCTCTCTAACTCTGACCTATTTACATTCACATTCACCGTTCTTATGGATTTATTAATGAAAATACTGAACGTTACTTTTTGTACTGTAAGAATTAGGGTAAAACAAGAATAGATTTTTAATACCCTAAGTATTAATAACAAAGGACTATCAAACATTTAAATGATTCTTTTGTTCATCGTGGTACAAAAGCTTGTCAATTAAAGACCACAGACAATAATGTTCTATC